GGAATTACATGTAGTCATGAACAGGTGATTTATGGCAGAAATCACTCGCGATAAGCTCTGGAAACTATTGTACTCTGTTTCAAGTTCCATGATCTTGTAAAAAGATGTCTGTAATACTATTGTGCGCACTGTAAAAATTACAAATTTGGCTTACTGATATCAGTCATAAAATTTTCATAGATATGTTTGCTCTAAATTACAAAGTTCAGTTTGTTTTTCTCCATGGGTGCTTTGTTTGATGCTTATGTTTCTATGTGTTACCTGGTTACTTGAGGTACATGTTGATGTATAACAGACAGTTATATGTTCTTTAGGACCTGGGTTTGGGGTTGCGAATGTTTATTGTTTCCTGGATACTCAACCGTTGGTTCCCTAGTTTCCTTGACTATTGTATATGTTTCTGGCATCCTTGGCTACCTGTTCCTAGGGGGTGTCCATCTTTCCTTGGTTGAGTGTTGCCTTGGAAACTTCATAGTATATGAATATGTCTTTTTCCTTACAGATCAGTCTGTTTTCAGACCTGGCCATGCACACGTCCGAGACACCTACATTTTGCCTTAGCACTGGTTTATTAACTGTTGCTTGTATTAACTTTTCCTTTTAGGTATTTTCTTTTAGGTAGACACTTCTTCATTACCACAAATATGGGACAAGGTAACAGTCGTCAGCTGTTTATTTCCATGCTTAAACATATGCTTAAAGACAGAGGTGCGAAAGTGAGCTCGCAAAAGTTGAATGACTTTCTGGAATTTATCGAACAGGTTTACCCTTGGTTTCCTGAACAAGGCTCTTTGAATATTGATATTTGGCAAAAACTGAGAAAAGAATTGCAGGATTTTTATGACACTGAAGGCCCTCTGAAGGTTCCCATCGATGCCTTCAGTCTTTGGACGCTCATTCGGGATTCCTTGGATTCTAGATCTGAAAAAGGAAACCTCGTTGACAAGGGCGCGTTAACTTGTATTAATCAGTTTTCTGCTCCTTCTGCTCCTCCAGGTTGTGACGCAGGAGAGTCTAATGAGGAATGTGATTTATCTGAACAGGTTTCTGCTTTGCACTTACAAGAAACTTTTCCTTCCTCTAGAACACAGCAGCAGCCTGAAAAGGATTCTCAGGTAACACGTATACCTTTTGCAGGTTCTTCTTCTCATGCTATTCCTCCTCAGATGTGTAAAAATTCTGCTGTGAGTTCTTTACCTTTAATGTCACCATTGCAAACAAGTCTGCAGCATGCAGCTACTGCTGGAGAGGATGTGTCTGAGTTTCATGCCTTTCCAGTTATGGAACGTGATGACGGCCAGGGTAATAGAGTCAGGACACATATTCTATTTCCATTTAAATCTCTGAAAGAGCTTAAATCTGCCTGTGCACAATATGGGCCTACAGCTCCTTTTACTCAGGCTGTGCTAGAATCTATGACTACTGAAGCTTTGGCTCCTAATGATTGGAAACAAATAGCCAGAGCCTGTCTGTCAGGAGGGGAATTTCTCTTATGGAAATCAGAATTTGGGGAATTCTGTCAGGTTACTGCTGACTTAAATAGGGCTCAAAATATTCCCATTACTTTTGACATGCTTGCTGGTGAAGGTCAATATAGGGAGACAGAACACCAAATAAACTTCCCTATTGCTGTTTATGCCCAAACCAGTGCTGCAGCAAAAAAGGCCTGGAATAAGCTGCCAACAGCTGGAAGGCAAATTGAGGACTTGGCTAGGATTAGGCAGGGTCCTGATGAATTATATCAGGATTTTGAGTCTAGGCTGTTAATGGTTGCAGGCAGACTTCTGCGTGATTCTGATGCTAGCTTACAGTTTGTGAAACACTTAGCTTATGAAAATGCTAATTCTGCATGTCAAGCTGCACTTAGACCATATAGAAAGAAAGGAAATTTGTCTGATTATATCAGACTTTGTTCTGATATTGGCCCTTCCTATACACAAGGTGTGGCCATTGCTGCTGTTCTGCAAAACAAACCTGTGAAGGATGTTTTATTCCAACAACATAATAAGAAAAGATGTTTTAAATGTGGCCAACCGGGACATTTTCAAAATCAATGCCCTCGTGGTAATTGTAGTTACAAAAAAGGGAAAGGTCCTCCTGGGCGCTTTCACAGCAAACCTAGGATGATACAAAATGGACCTCAAAACTACATTAGGTCTCATCCGGGAAACGGGAGGAGGGGCCAGCCTCAGGCCCCCAGACAATATGGGGCATTTCAGAAGGGAAACAATCCATTTCGGAACTT